TCTCATGAGCCGTCTCCCCTCTGCCCCCAACTCCTCACTGCTCGGGGCTCAAGCTGTGGGACAGGCAGGAACGAAGGTGTCAGCTCCATGGCCACAGCCTGAGAACCACTGGCTCAGCCAGCAAGGAGCCCTCCAGGGCTAGAGACAGAGGCCAGGGCCCGGCCTGGGGATCCAAGGGGAGGGAGGGAGGAACGGGGGAACCCAGACTGGGGTTCAGTGCCCAGGAACCGCTCTGTGCAGTGGTTTGGGCCCTGGGAGTCTCCATCCCCAGGATGGTACCTTGTGTGGCTGCCCTGGTGACTGTATCACAGGGCACGTCCATCGTCTCCTCGTGAGCTCTCAGTGTGAAGACCTCACTGTCCCGGCTGCAGTTCCCTGTGACGAGCCGCGTCTGGACAGCTGCGGGGGGTGGGGGTGAGGAATGACAGAGCCCCTCGCTGTGAAACCACTTCCCTGGGAATCTGTCCATTCTGGGCCAGATCCACCCCCCTCCCACTCCACTTGGAGCCGGGGGGCTTCAGGGCTCTTCCACACTGTTGGAGGGGGAAGTTTGGAGCTCCCTGCCCGAGTTCCATTGATCACCCCCAATATCCCCTCCCCACATCCTGGCTGTGTCTCCATTGGGATGCTGCGTCCCCAGCAGGGGGAGGAGTGGGAGTGGGGGGAGGTGACTGGCTCAGTGTGGCAGCCACTAGTGGTCGAATGCCAAATATTACATTTAAAGCCTTCTCGGCCATTGCTGTTGCTCCGGGGGCACTGGCGGGACTGGGTTATATTTCCTGGGGCAGGGGCAGTGCTGGTCTGTGTCTGTACTGAACACAGGCTCACATCCACAATGGTATATAGGCTCTAACTTCCAGTGGATTTGGGGCACAGTGTATAACCCCATATCTCACGGCAGCCAGCAGGTGGCGCTGAGAGCCACACGTCCCCCCTCACCCATAGACTCTGTCGTCATATTCTGTGTTCTCCTCTCCGGAGACAGGAGCGCAGTGGCCAGCGCGGCCAGTTCTACGCTCTGCAGCAGGACTGTCAGGGCCAACCCCATGTCCCCCTTGTCTCCGCCATCCGAGAGGGAGGTGCTGTTCAGGAGGGCACTGAAACGGAGAGTTGCTTCCTGCGGACAGGAAAGTAAAAGCTCTGGGAGTGAGGAGCCTGGGGGTTCAGATGCCAAGTCCCGTGTGTTCCCAGGGGGCATCAGGCATCACAGCCTCTCCCAGTTCAGGGGGCTGTAGTGCTCTCAGAGGGGGAGCCCTTTACAAAGGGGGTCCACTGAGGCTGACTCAGGACCCCACTGGGACCTGAAGCCAACTGGGGTAGAACCCTTTGTCCTTCCTTCTTCACTCCCACTCCCCCATTCCTCCATTACAGATGCCAGGGAACAACATTGTCACAAGCCCACGGCTTCCTAGGCTGTCTCTATGCTGCATCCGGCAGCTGCTCAGAAATGTCTGGCAGGGCAGGGACAGAGCCCAGATCCTGCTGCCTGAAAAACTTAGGTCACTGATAGATCAGCTGAGGAGAATCCCCATTAACTGTTAGCAGTATAAAGAACAGGAGTACTTGTGGCACCTTAGAGACTAACAAATTTATTAGAGCATAAGCTTTCGTGGACTACAGCCCACTTCTTCGGATGCATATAGAATGGCACCTCTGATGAACAACAACAGTTCTGAACACTAGAGGGCGCATGTGGGTGGACAAACACAAATGTGCACTCACACCATCAGAGGGCATGTGCGCGCAGACACAGACAAACACCACTAGAGTGTGCATCCCCCTCCCCACAGCAGGAGGGCACAGATCTTTTCTGAAGAGTATCTACATGTCTCCCTCCCCCAAGATGAGACTCCTAACCCGGCACAGCAGCAGGCAGGGCTCTGGGGCACACACAGGGGCACTAGTCTGCAGGGCACATTCAAGAGATGGAGCCTCTCACCTCCAGTGATAACGCCGCACTCCCGTCTCT